ACCTGCCAATCAGCTCGCGAGAATGACGGACTTCATCGCAGTTCTCGCGAGCTGATTGGCAGGTTGCGGCACACCAGGATTTGCGCTACGAAGGGATGCACGTTACTCAAGCTTCTCGTGCCAAATTGAAGAGCAGCCCACTCTTATACGACACGAATTGGTTTGCGAAACGAAGTGCAACCATGGAAAAACAGACAAGACAACAGCAGCGAGAGCGGTCCCAACATGGTCGTAAGCAATTTCTACACTCTCCACAAATCCTTCTTTGACTCTAGATCAGCACGATACTCCATGAGCGATATACCCGAGGACCCAAATCAACGTACTGCAGCCATGTCATCATCCCGCAAGCGCGCAGAATCGCATCAACCCCAGACATTGACTCCACCATATGCGCAACGATCATCCGACGAGGGGCAACTGTCTCAACAAGCTGTCATTTCTGCATATCTGAGATCCTCATACTCTGATGATGACACGGGACGTCCAAGGAGATTCTCATCAGCTGAGCATTACTATTCGCCGTCGCCAGCACACCACAACTCGCAGGGACAGATTCGAAGAATAAGCGGTAACTTCAACGCGCCGACGGACATGGAGTTGGAGCGACAGAAGGACTTCAAGAAGAGTTCACGTGGTCTGGGGAAGCTCAAGAACGCTGTCAGGGGTCTGGTTAGGGTGTGAGAGGTTTGTTGGGGGCTCAGCACCTGCTTCTCGTCCTTTTCACCCATTTCACGCCCTGTCACGTTGCACGCACTGTCCGCTTTGAGGACTAAGATACCCAATCGTTCGTATGCCAATAATTTGTCTCCTCTTGTGATCTACATCAGCTTTCAGGTCTTCTTGTGCGACACGGCACGGCCGATCGTGATGAGTGACATCATTGGCCCCATCCATGCTGAACGCCACACATCCTTCGCTTCGCTTGCGCCTCGCTTTTCGCTCCCTCGCCGTCTCCCCGACAACGTTCATCTCCAACATGATTCCACATGTCATGGTATGGTTCATGAAGGCTTTCTGCATCCGCGGAGCATGTCGACCAGCCCGTCAGGTCAGCAGAGTTGTATCCGCATTCTGCCTGGAAGGCATGATCTTCTGATGAGCCACACATCATTTCCTATCCTGGACTGCGACAGGCAAAGCGTGGCTGGGCTGCGCGATGGCGCTGCAATGACGTCTTTAGTATGTCTTACAGGATTGCTATGGGTCTGTGTCAGGTACATCATGTGCGTTGTGTGAGTAGGCAACCGTTTAAAGGTCCTGACCTGCATCATCAACCTGATGGCATCATTCGGCCGCACTAATAAGCATACTCATCATTGAGGACGCTAACAGTCATACTCCATACTATACACGTTTACATCGCTCAAAACATCCTATATTCTGGTTTCTAGATCCTACACTACCACTACGAGTCGGCATTGAGTCACCACCGAAACACGAATCATGGATCACTACCCAGAAGTCAGCGTCAACGAACGCGAAACCCCTTCCTCTAGAATGTCCTCTCGCCACGACTCAGCATCATCAGTTGCCAAAGCCGCTGCCGCTGCTGCTCACCAAAGACCCGCTACAATCGACACCGAAGATAACACAGCAGCGCGAGCATCATCCTACCATTCGTTCCCATCGCCTTCAACGCACTCGTCAGACCACTCGGCGCACCGCTCTGATTCCAACTTCTCAACCAACTCGGGTGCTCAGCGCATCGAAGCAGAGTACGCGCGGTATACGGATGCGCCACCGCCATACAGTGAGAAGCAGTATGAAGGGAAGAGCGCAGACGAGCAAAATAACATGAGGATGAAGGACTATGCCAAGGAGATCTCGAGGATGATGGGACGGCAGCTGGTGAGGGGGCTGAAGATTGATGAGAGGCAGAAGGGCAGGAAGGAGAAGAAAGAGGGAAAGGTGAACTGATGTCGCTTGCGGCATGACGATCAGGCTGGTCCTGTTGTTTGTATTTGTATGATTAGCACAGCGATGGCGTTCAGCGACGATCTTGCGACGCCTTGGAACGTGTATACGGTCTTCGGTTTTGATACTAGCAGTTTACATCAAAATCATGTTCAACATTTGTACCCTCAGTTCTTCAAGTGCGAACCACACCATTTTTCACCATCCTCAGCTTGATCTTAGCTCAGTCTCAGGATTTTTCTCTAAGCTCTTTCTTGTGGAGCTCTGCTGCTTGTACATTCCTCAAGGCCTCGCTCAAAGGCATCTCCCTTACAATGCCATTATCTTCTTCCAAATATAACAATTCCAGCTGCTGCGGAACTTTAATAGGCCTCGTGTCGCTCTGGCGCACTACCTGGATTACATCCTCTGCGATCTCGACCGGCTCTTCTCTTCTATCCGTGCGCATCCCGAGCATGGCTAGCAATACGTCATTCACAGGCTCGATTGGCTCGTTGGTGATAAGAATGCGCAAGATTTGTAGAGCAGGGAAAAGCTTCAGCAGTGTCCTCGTTGCTGTAACAACATCGAGCCAAAGAACTTCAGCACTAACCTTGTGCTCTCCTCGCGATTCCACGCCTAACTAGTCTTGAAGGCCTATGCTATGGATAAATGCCAGCTTATTGACAAAATGTGCGTATGTTCTTGATAACGGAAGGATATGTGATCCCGTAACAACGATATGATGGGCTATGTCGAACGGTGGGACGCCGGTAAGTTGTAGCGGCCGCGCATAGAGCACTTCAGCAAATTCCCAGTGCACTTGTCGGCATATCCTCATAATGTTGCAGTTTTGGTAAAATATAAGTTCCTCATCCTCCTCAGCACCCGGATCGAAGTCATCGGCCCATTCGTCTTCTTTGCGCCATCCATATCCGTCGTGGATCATATCGTCGCAGACGTAGCCATAAATTATGTCTCTCAACTCCCGTGGGAGATCGAGAAGACCAGTACCATTCTTAGTTCCCATCCATTCCCAGGTTTTGGGTATAGGCCGCTGTAGACCATCAGGTCTGACCGATATATAATGTTGTATACTTACGGGCTTCTTATAGGCGAGAGAAAAGATGTACTCAGGTGAAGCTGCCTTGGCTGGGATGTGTGATTCCAGCCTGATGAGCTGGCATCGCTCTGATTTGGTATCAGCCGACTGAAGGAGCTCGGTTAGCTTGTACTACTGACCTCGACACTTGCTACCTTGGGGCCGCTCCTCCTCCATTGACGCAACAATCAAAGCAGCTGTGCGAGCCACGTATAGGCTATGAAGAATCCAGTAAATGTTTACCAGAACAGAAAAAACCCAAAAATTGAACCCGAAAGTAGGTGATACAGCTACGGCAGCTATGCGGATGATCCGCATGTAGCGCGTCATCCCAGAGCAAGCACTCAACTTGAGGGTACCTGGTTCGGAGGTGTTTGCGAGGCAGTGGACTGGCTGACTCAGCACTGTCGGCGTCGGCTATCAACAGACTAACTGCAACGCTACATCTGTCCGAGACTATGACGCAGGCTGGCAGCATCTACGCGTCTGAACATGGGTTCAAAGTCGCTTTCTGCCGGTTTTCTCGCGAGATACAGAAAGCTTTGATCAATGCTAACGACACAGCAACGCTCATGCGAACTGAAGACGACTAGGCTGATATGACAAGTCGCGATGGCCCAGACACGCGCAAAACGCGACGCAACAACACCTTCCACCCGGCTCGTGAACCCGTGAGACACGGGGATGGCCTACGTCTCGAACATGATCGCGTCACTGGTCCGATACCGTTCCTCAACCCTACGCGAGCGCATTACCGCCACGACCAGCGTCCTGATGTGCGGTACAAATGGACTTCACGGAATGACCGCAAAGGACGACATGCAGTAGACATCGAATCCAAACAGGCTACCGCTTCGACAAAGCACGATACCCCACGCCCAACTACCTCCCTTCGTAGTGTTGCACGCAACATCTGGCGCACGTTCACGTACTTTCCGATATGGGACGTGTCATTCGACGTTGCCTTTGTCTTCACAATAGGCAGTGTGATATGGATATTCAATGCCTTCTTCGTATATCTGCCGTTGGTGCGACCGGGTTCTGAATTCGCGAATGAGGAACTGTATGGTGGGGGCATAACCGCGTTTGTCGGAGTGACTGTTTTCGAAGTGGGGTCGTTCCTGCTCGTGGCAGAAGCTGTGAATGAGGGTAGATCGGGATGCTTCGGATGGGCAGTGGAGCAGGTTCTATCGCATGAAGAGGAAAGCGGAGAACGCGTAGCACTGCGGCCGTCAAAGTCGCATTGCACACACCACCACAACAAACAGATGTCAGTCGACACCCGGCAATTTACACAATCAAAGTCCGATTTGGCGCCCCAAGAGCGTTTGTGGATATGGTGGCCGTCAAACGAAGAACTGCGAACCCACTACATCCACAATCTCGGGTTCATAGCTTCCTTCTCCCAGCTGCTCGGTGCAACAATCTTCTGGGTCGCGGGTCTGACAGCGCTACCGGGCATTTACAATCGCATGTCGCAGACGCTTACCATCATTTTCTACTGGACTCCCCAAGTTCTTGGCGGTCTAGGTTTCGTCATTTCCGGCGCCCTCTTCATGATCGAGACACAGTTCAAGTGGTGGAAACCGGCTCCCCGGACACTCGGTTGGTGGGTCGGCGCTTGGAATCTCGTAGGAGGTGTAGGCTTCACTTTGTGTCCGGCTTTTGGGTACGATACTAGGAGTTGGGCGCAATATCAGGCTTCTCTTAGCACCTTTTGGGGTAGCTGGGCTTTCATGATAGGGAGCACACTTCAATGGTACGAGAGCCTAGAGAAGTACCCTGTGGCAGTTGACAGCACTACATAGACTTCAGGATTGTTCATGCTTACTTGGTTCGCAATCATCGAATCCTATGCTCGCCTAACTAGTCGGCAGCAGTGCATTGTGGCACATATGTTGCTAAATGCGTGGAGTTGGAAGCCCGCAAGGGCAGGTGGGTAAGAACGAGAGCCGGTATCGCCCTAAATTTGACATGTTCATGGCACCGGAGTTGCAGCCGTTCGCTTTCTATCTTCCGATGCCAGCCCGACACATTCCAGCACTCAATTCGTCAAGCCGCGTTTACCTCGAGCGACGTAACTACAAGGCAACCCTATCATCGGATGTTTATGGGAGGCGGCATCAGAATATTGGACACATAAAGACTGAGGCTACATTCCGAGACTCATTGCTTCATAACGTCTATACCAACTGTATTCAAAACTCTTTGTTACTCGCCCCCTACCACTATTGCTAGCTTTGAACCTATATCAGAGCGAAGTCCTACCGAGAATTTACATGTTACGTTGCAGTACCATGGAGAGCCCACACACCTCACTCGCGTCTGAGAAAGAGAGGCAGGTAAATGTAGTCGACTGGCATGGCAATGACGATGCGGCAAACCCCAGAAACTTCGCCTCATGGAAGAAGATTATCAACATCGCCTGTATATTCTTCATGTCTTTTGTCTCGTGAGTATCACACCCTAGATGCATTACAGCTATCAATCGCTGACATGTAGGAGGCCATTCACGTCTTCTGTGGTCGCCCCAGCGATTCCAGACATCATGAAAGACTTCAGATCCACCGACGCTTACCTATCCGCCTTCGTCCTGAGTATCTACGTCCTAGGCTACGCTTTTGGACCACTCCTCATTAGCCCCCTCTCCGAGCAGTACGGCCGACTACCTTTGTACCACCTGTGCAACGTGCTCTTCACCATATGCACTTTGGCCTGCGGGCGCGCAAACTCACTCGGTGTCTTAGCTGTTTTCCGGTTCCTTGCTGGTGTGGGCGGAAGTAGTGTATTCGCTCTTGCACCATCAAGCCTCGGAGATCTTATGGTGAAAGAGAAGCGCGGAGGCGTCATGGCATTGATAGGTCTGGCATATAACCTTGGTCCAGCGATTAGTCCTACAGCAGGCAGCTACCTCAATGCTGCGAAAGGATGGCGATGGATCTTCTATCTCACTGCTATCCTTGGTGGGATAGGTACAGTCCTTAGTATGCTTTGTTTGTCGGAAACCTACGAGCCGGTTCTACTTCGGCGGAAAACAGTGCGACTGCGGAATGAGACTGGGAACGAGAACTTACGAGCAAGACCTGATGTGGATACGGCAGCAAGTAAGCTGGAGTCTTTTGGCACTGCGATGTTTATGCCGCTTCGCATGCTACTCTTGTCACGTCCGATTTTCTTTACATCACTCCTTACTGCTATCAGTTACGGCTACATCTACGTCCTGTACACGACCCTCCCAACCACGTTTGTCGAAACATACAAGTGGGCGCCGAAAATTCTGGGTCTCGCCTATCTGGGCACTGCATTCGGCAACCTCATTGGTATGCTTGGAGGCGCTGCGATTAGCGATAACCTTGTCAAGCAAAGAGCACTGAGAGGCGACACACGACCGGAGAACCGATTGTTACCTATGATATTTTGGTGGCCGCTTGTGAGTATCGGTTTGTTCATATATGCTTGGACTGCGCAACATGGGGTGCACTGGATCGCGCCGTTAATTGGAACAGTGATATTTGGTGCGGGGGCTATGAGCGCTATCGTAAGTCTCATGTCGCCCCAAAGTGCTTCGTTCTGGGTTCGGTCTCAAATTCAAGTTCGCAGTCGCTGATCTGCAGTCTAGTTCTTCACTGGTACATACATTCTCGATGCCCACCCCCTACATTCTGCATCTGGCATGGCTGCCTGTTCTGTCATGCGTTCGCTTGTCGGTGGTCTTGCGCCTCTTTTCTCGCATAAGATGTACCAAAAGCTTGATGTGGGCTGGTCGTTCTCATTACTTGCGTTTATTGCCCTCGCACTCACGCCGGTAAGAAATGTCCCTGGACAAATTGCATATGAGACATACGTTGACTTTGTGCACCATCATCTAGGTACCATGGGTGTTCTATACTTTTGGCGAAAAGTGGCGTGCTAGGGAGCGTTATGGTGGACGGGCTGAGGTTGATGGATTGAGTACAGAGCAGAGCAGTACGCTGGATGTGGCGTCGGAAGCAGAAGGTAGGGCGCATGTATGATGTCCCTGACGACGGCAGCTTGGTACGACGGGATTCAAGTGATAGCCGGCAAACTACCTTCTCGACAGTGGTAGTTGAGCTCTGTCTACACTCTTCGACGAGGCTGGGGCATATAAATGACTGAGTCATGGTGGTCCTCAAACAATGCTTGAGCTTGAACCCTTTCGCACTGTCTTCATTTTGTGTCGCAGTCAATATTTACTGCTGTCACTTTGATCCAAATCGTCGCTGCCTATACCATCTACATTGGGTAGCTGCCTGACCCAACATGCCCCTTACAAGCTCTTCTCTCGAAGGCTCATCCACGCATTTCCATCTTACTCTGCAGCTTCATGCTTTCATAAACAACCATCATCATATACTTTTTCCAGAACGCATACGTACAACCTCACTTGTCTTGAGCCCCACAAAGCTTCTTTAACGTCTCTTTCACTATCGCTAGTCACCAAGGGCACACACGCGACAACCTGCCCGTTTGTACCTGTCATCCGTACTTGTTCAGCAGTATATCCCATGATATATCCCCTCCCTTGCGATCTCACAGATATCGCATGAACTCTCGCATCCCGCGCCCTGTATCACCATCAACCGGCCAGCAAAGACTCGCACAAGCCGATTCGATGCTTCCATCCTCGCCCCTCGCCAAAGTGCAAAGGAACAGAGACCCTCGAAACACATTGATGGTACCAGTGTTCGATACAAGGTCTGAGATAGTGTCTCAAGGTCCACGTGTCTACCGTTCCGCCGACACACCCAAGGAAAGTGTTTCGTCTATCCCAGGCACTATGAAGATCATCGTCGGACCAGAGCCAGAGCCAAACAACCAACGAACCTGGTATCTGCCTAAAGCAAAGTTGTCACGGTACTCTGACATCTTCAAATCTATCGTCGCCGCAGACGACACAGTATCGGAAGTTGAACTGCCAACTATCAGTCCCAATTCCTTTGCCGAGTTCGTCTCATTCATGCACTCAAACATTTACAGCACCAACACACAGGTTGCCGGGTACCGTGGTATACGAGCACACGCGGATTCATGTCTCCTTGCCGCCAAGCTAGAAGCAGATGAGTACTGGGAAGCAGCAATGCGAAAGCTATACGATTTGTTCCTACCGCTCGCCAAATCTAGAAGATCTGACGCTAAACAATCTCTGATTCGAGCCGGTGATATCGCATACATATGTGTCAACACCGCAGAAGAGAACCTACGACGTGTGGTAACCATCAACTCGGAACCTCTCACAAGCGACAATCCCTTGAACCCGCAGATCAAGCTCACAACTGATGATGGTTCCTCCGGCGCTCCTCCTGCACCCCCTAAGAGATGCTACCACAGTCACGACGTCGGCGCCATGAAAGGGCTCCGCACACTCTTCTTTGACGCCCTGGCTTCACACTGGACACGTAGTGATGTGATTTACATCGGCGCGCAAGACTCACCACGCGGCGGTGGTAGCAACAAGAACGATGTTCCTGGTGATAGCACCACATGGCGACAAGTATGTGACATGTACCCGGACTTTCATTTCCATATCGCCAAGACTTCCGATGTGCAGCATTGGTGGAGGACATCTTTGCTCAAGAACATTAATACTTATCTTAACCCGGTCGGTATACAATTCGTTGGTGGGCCGGGAGGTGAGAGTAGTGGGGGTGCTATAGTCAGAAAGGAGGCTGTTGATAAGATCAAGATCAAGGTGGAAGAGGTTGAGGCACATGAAGAGCTTGAGATGGAGTCGGCAACGCGACGTCCTAGGCTCACACTCAGACTGGAAGGATCGAATGGAAGTACCAGTGGGGATGGAGCTGACTATTTAGAGCAAGCGTCGAGTTATGCTGGGGGCGAGGATGGAAAGATTGAGGAGGGCGTTGACAGTGATAGAAGCACGGTTGTAGATGGAGGGTCTGAAGGCGAGGAGGCGGCACCTCAAGATGCAAATGAGGATCAAGATTAGGACGTTTGGGCTGAACAATAACTAGCTTTTTCTGGGCTTCAGTACACCACAGTGTTGTCCGTATAGACCATTCAGACATTCGTGTAGATACTTAGCGACTGCATTTGTTATCGATGGTAACTCTCCAGTTCGCTCAATTTCATGATACAGTATTCTCATCAGCACCGTATACAAGAGAACAACCGAACAGGTATAGAAATAACGAGCTTTACCTTACAGCTCCCAATAGCTCCCAATAAAAAAACTAATAAAGATTAATAGTACTATAGACTTCTAGGTTCTTGATCTATATCTATATAGCTCCTAACACGCCTAATTGTAGTAGAAAGAAGTACACTGCTCTAAGAAGATGTTGAGTTTCTCTCTTTGATAAAGTGCCAGCTTATCACCACCACAAAGACCCAAACACTGTACACATACCTAATCTCCCACGTCCATACCAACCATGCTCACAACACCATGCGATGACTAGCATACCTCTTCTAGCTTGGCGCCTAACCAAGCACACAAGACAACCGTCCGCACTACCTAGTACACCACCGTCACACAACACCAACCCTCCCCCTCCGCACTGACAACCTCAGCCCAACGCTCCTAGCGCAACATAATTCCCCGATGCAATCAGCCTTCTGGCATGCTGTCGCGCCGCATCGTGTCGTGTGACAGATTCGAGCGTAAAGCACGGTTCCTAGGCGGCTAGTCACAGCGCTCGCTGCATGGCCGCTGAACGACTGGTGCTTGTAGGGCGAAGATAGCGCATGCAAGGTGCCTTGTGCAGGAAGCGGATCCAGACTTTGGGCAAGCGGCTTGGATTTCGAGCCTATTGTTTGCTTTTGAAGTGGATGGGGTGCTGGAATGCGCGAACGTGAAGTTGTGGGTGGGGATTGGGTGTTTGGCTGTGAATGATAGACTGGAGAGATGGTTCGTTTCAGCGCATATACACTGGGTAAGGTGTATACTCGCCCTGCGGTAACAGAGCTACACTGAAATGAGCACTATCTGGTCAGTATAGTGGTTCAGAGGTGAGTCACGGTTTGCCGACCAGCGTTCGGATGGTTGCTGCATATGCTTCCGCCGAAACTTTTCTTCTGTTGCCTTGTCCGCTACAGACGCAAGAAGCCTATCCTTAGAATACCTTCGGGCGGATATATGCGAGGCCCATAGCTGGAAGGATGCCTAGCTGGCGTGCAGTAGATCCTGGCCGGGCTCGCTGCATCCTCGTTTTACGTTGTCAGATCGTTTGCGGGCCCGGTAGCTGCTTCCTTACCCATGCGGTCATCCCGGCGACAAGCAGCACCTACGAGCGTATTGGTTAGGAGGCGGTGTTGACGATAATAGTGTTCCGATCTTTGGTTCACGCTACCCGGTTCATGCACCTTCGCGTAAGGTTTGGGCGTGTAGAATCGAATCTAGAATGACGTGAAGAGAACCTTGGAAAGAAAAGAAGACAAGTCGTCTTTTGAAGCGCTAGTCACCTGCCACGAGGGCGCTCGTACGATGTTCTCGTATGCCCAACGCCCTGTGCTCATAGGTCGATCGTACGGCCGTGCAGCTTCGCGTGGGTAGCCAGCAAAGTGGTGCCCTAAAGCCAAACCTTACTAATTGGAGAAGCAAAAAGAACCTATAGACGACTTTCGACGTTGGTTTCTTCGCGGCCTCGCCAATCTTGAAAAAGCATGGAAACGGTATGAGCTGTCAAACCGTTGCAGATGGTACAGCGCGCGAAGAGGCTGAGCAGCGAAAGACCTTGAGTACCTTTCGGAGACCGCCTAGTTGCATATACACCCATCAGAACACCTCCCCGCTGTCAGTCTCACACCTGTCCTTCGTGCGTACAGAACCAGATGCAAAGGCCCCTCGCTGTGGGGGTTGTGTTACTGGACTCTGACCACTTCTCTCAGTCCGATCATATGTGTACAGGAAGCCGCTTGTGTCTCCAGGGCGGGACTGCGGATAAGAGGGTATGTCCAATTATTCGTGTGGCGAGTGTAGCAAACTCAAACGTGGTGATACGCTCGTAGGCAGCGGTCGTCTGCAGCAGGCTAGATGGGGACTATCGTTGTATTACCTGGGGTTCTAAGGGTGCTCATTGCAGCAAGGAGCGTCCCGTTGCGGGTGATGGACCAGCACATGTCGAGAGGCGGCGTTATGCTGTACCATGTGTGGGGATATCGTGCTAGTATTGAGCAGCGATCTGGTCGTGTTGTGGAAGGTTTCTCGCAAGTGGCTGAGGAGGCAGACATGGATGGCTACCGTGTTACCATGTAGCGCCATTGCATGTTGTTTGTATGACCGACTAAGTTCGAGGTCGCTCTAGGAAAAGCAACCGTGCGGAGAAGTTGGATATCTGAAGTTTTAGTGACCTTGGCTATGTATCTCCGGTGTCCGAGAAAAAAAGTGAGCTCATGATCGTACGTTTCGAGTCTATAGCGTGAAGCAACGCTGTTCGTAGTCTGACACGATGACTGATCGAAGTACCGTCGGCATGTAGCGTAGAATAGCCGCATGACGACGCATGTATGCTTTTGATAGTACCAATCCTGGGAAAGGGAAGATCACAGCGCAAAGGACGTGCCTCAGCTAGAAGAAAGAGCAGAATTCCGAGCATCAGGTCCCAAAAGCACAGCTACCCGCAAGGCTGGATGTCGCTCGGCAGACCCGATGAGTTGGCCCAACTTACTGTGATACAGTGACACAAGGCAAGTAAGCCACGAAGCTTGCTGCGCAAGGTTCGCTCCTTACTTTCAAGCCTTGACATCGGCTAGGATGGCAATCCCCGACCAGATGTCAGTAGCCAATATGCGGCTTACCGTGCTCATTCGTCTATCTGTGACGCCGAAAAGTGCCCATCGCATTCTCGCACTCGCATAGGTTAAGCGAACAAAGTTCTGCGAGTTTCGCCTAAGGAAAAGGACTATTCGAGGCGCTTTTGTGGCGTGAAAAAAGCATACTTCTGGGGTGCGTACGGAAGCCGGAAGAAGGAAATTGATGCAAGTACGGTATACGGGTGACATACAACGCCCATGTGATTGATGAACAGCCGCC